TTCAGCACCACAGCAAACACTCAGCAATAACTTCGGACAGGCCCTTGCAGAGTCGGGGCTGGAAAGGCCGTAGAGAAGGGCAAGGGGGCAAACTGGATAACCTCCCGGTACCGTCTCTAAAGCGGTGGGAAGAGCCGTTTCCTACCTCACGGAAGGGTAAACGCTTTGTGAAGTCCTCGGCTGCCTCTGTCATAGGCTGGAGGAAGCAGAAACATTTTATGAGTATAAAGGAATGGCCCTTCCATCAGGCCCGACCCCGCTCGAAAGATGCTGATGCTAAGACACGCATTGAAAAAAAAAAAAAAAAAATAATAATCTCTCCGTAACGTTGCACCTGACGTTGCTCCCGGGGCTCCCCGGCTGCCCCCAAGCCCCCCCTCCCCCGCCGGCCGGGGCGGGGGCGGCCCCGGGGGCCGGGGACGAGCCGCTGCCGCCGCCGGGACAATTCACGGCGGGGCTGGGCGCCGCCACCTGAGCCGTGGCAGCGGCGGCGGGAGGGGTGTGAGTGTGTTCGGGGGGGGGGGGTGAGGGCGGGGAGGGCCACACCGGCGCTCGGCCGGCGGAGCCGCCCCGGCGGCGGCGACCTGTGAGGGAGCGGCTCCCGCGGGAGGGCGGGGGAAGTCCACTCCGGGATTTCGGGGGCGCCGCGGAGTGACACATTGACATCACGGGGGCGCGGCCGGGCGGCGGGCGGGGGCTGCGCGCTGAAAGGCGGCGGGGCGCGGCCCCCGTCACTCCGCAACGGCGGCGGGACGGCGCGGAGCGGGCGGCGGGGCTGCCCACACTGCCCGGGCTGGACTCCGCGCCGGGGCCGCCAATGCGCCGCGGCAAGCCGGCGCGCACCTTGGCCTTAGGTAAGCCCGGGTCGCGCTCGCCGCTTCCCCGCACCCTCACACACACACACACACACCCTCCCTCAGGTGCTGGGGGTGTGGGCGGGTAGCGGGGGCGAGGGGGGGGGGTGCCCAGAGCGCCGCTCCGCCGTGCGGGAGGTGGGGGGTGGCCCCCGCCGCTCCCCGGGGGCTCCGGCCCCGCACGCCCGGCGTAACCCGCCGGGGAGCCGCGGCTCCGGGCTTCCCGAGTGAGCCGCGCTCCGCCGCTAGTTCCAAAACTTCCCGTGGGGTGGTTGTCTGGCTTGCCCGACGCGGGGATCTCGCTTGCGTGCCGGAGCTTTGCTTGATCCCCTCGCAGCACCGAGAGGAGGCTCCGGAGACTTTTTCGTGCGGGACTTTTTGTGCCCAGGGCTGCCTCCTGTTGCCGCTCGCTCCCCTGACGCGCTGCCCGTGCTCCCCGCCTGTCAGTCAGCCTCCGACAGCAACAGCAAGCACATGGCAGTTTGCAGCGAGCTCGCAGAGCCATTACGGTCTGCCCCTGGCTCCCTTTGCAACTTGCAGAGGTGTGCCTTGAAAGCAAGTGCCTCTTCGTGATTTTTTTTTTATTATTATTCCAACAACAACAACAACAAAAATCTCTTGCACTAGGGGTTGTGGTTGCACTTTGCCAGAAGGGACTCGCGGCAAGGACCGTGCGGTGAAGCCGAGCGCCGGACCCCTGGACCGCTGCCGTGCCCTCACCCCCCCACCTCGGCGTGGAGGGATCGCCGGGGACCGCTCCCGTCCGAGAAGGGAAATAACAACCCGAGCAGGAGCCGCGTATTCTCCGCGCTTTCTTGGAGACCTTCACCACCCGTGCCCCGCGCTGCCCAGTGCCAGCGGCAGCCTGGCTTACGCTAGATCGCGATAAACCTCTTGCCAGAAAGGGCTTGATTTTTGTCCGTCTCCCCCCACCCCCTTCCCCCCCCCCCCCCCCAACCAGCCCGAGGGACCTCCCTGGCTCCGCGGAGGAGGCGGCCCGCTGGATGCCGACCCCCGAGAGCGGAGGGCGGCGGCGGCGGGCGGCGGAGCTGGGTTCGCCTCCGCTCGCCGCGTAGGGACGTGGAGATCCGCGAGGGCTTCGCAGAGACGAGAAGCGCAGCGCGCCCCTGCCTCCCCCGCGTCCCGCGGGGCTGGGAGGGCGAGGAGCCGGGCCCGCCGCCCCCCGCCGAGTGGATTTGCCGTGGCTAGGGTCTCCTTGGAAAGAAGTAAGTTTGAGGGGAGGGCTCGTCCTCCTCTTGTCACGGAGCCGAGCTTTGGGGGGGGACGGGGGGGGGGGGGGGAAGGACTGGGGGGCTCAGCCCGCTCGGTTGCGGGGACGCGCCGGGAGCGGCGAGCAGGTGCCGCTGGCCGCGCACGGGCGGGGCGAGGCGTGGGCACCGCAGACCCACGCCGGGACCCACCCCCCCCCCCAAATATAATAAAAGCCCACTGGGACCGGGCTTCCATGGTCGCCCAGGACGGGGAGCGGGGCGGCCCGACAGACCCCGCGGCGGCCGCTCCGTTCCGCGGCGTGGGCCCCCGGGGACAGGAGTGGGGCGTAGGTGTGGGGGGGGGGGGGCGGCGGGGGGTGCCGACCGTCACGAGGTAGGGGAAGAGGGGAGCCGCTCGCTGAGGAGCGCGGTCGGCTGAAAACGAGCATAATGTTAAAAAAAAAAAAAAAAACCTCAAGCCCCAAGGAACACCTCGCAGGCGGCTCCCTGAGGTGCGGGGGGGGCCGAGCCGGCAGCCCCCGAGCCGCGGCGGCGGGGAATCCCCGGCGCTGGAGCGGCCGGGCGCTGCCGCTTTAAATGCCGGGAAGTCCGCCCTCCTGAGGCAGCGCCGGGCTCGGTCTCTGCCCTCCCCCTGCAAAAGGGGGAGAAGGAGGGGAAGAAAAGAGAGGGGAAAAAAAAAAAAAAAAAAAAAAGCCCTTGTTTTCATTCATAACTTTTTTTTTTTTTTTTTTTTTTTTTCCCTCCCCTCCTCTTCCTTCCTCCCCGGCAGCGGCGTGCTGCCCGCTTGGGGCGCAGAGGGCGCCGCGCCGCCGCCGCCCGGGGCTGGGGGTGCCGGGGGGGGGGGGGGGGGGGGGGGGGAGTGGCGTGTCCGAGAGGGTGTGGGGAAAGGGCGTGGAGGGGGGGGACACGCACACGGACACGGCTGAGATGCGGGGAGGGAGCGCGGGCTGTGCCTGCCCTGGGCGCCGAAACATGGGGTGTCTCGCCGCCTTTGCTGTATGCTATTTGATTTTATTTTTTGGGGGGGGGGGGGAGGCACGGGGGGGACACAACAATTTAAAACTTGCGGGGGGGGGGTGGAGGTGGCTGGTTCGGCGGTGCCGCGCTCTGCCTGGTCTGCAGCTGGTCCCAGCCTGCGTGCCGTGGTGGTGTTGCGCTTTCCCCCCAAAGATGGCACTGGATGTCTTTCACATTTTCTTGGGATATTATTTTTCATCCCCTGGGGAGCCCAGCTCCTGGTTGGTACAGCTGTAAATCTTTCCCTTTTCACATCCATTCACCCTCGATCTGCTGGGGATTTGTATTCAGCGCTTGTGAAGAAGGCAGCTTGTTACGCGGGGGGAATTAGAAGTGAACGTGTTTGGCTTTTTGGTTTGTTTTTTTCTTTTTATTAATCCGGCGACCCTGAAGCCCACACGGGTGACATTAAATGTAAAATGAAATCTTTGACTGCTGGATGAGCACAAAGACTTTGTGTCCTGGCAGAAGCTGGCGCTTGCCATTTATTAGCAGTCGGAGGGATAAAGATGCTAACTACCTGTTAGAAGAAACCTCTCCTGCTCTTGTCCACCCTGTGCTTCCACGCCACGGTCCCTTTTTCTCTCAAGTGGGGAACAGCTCCTTGCCGGCTGTGGTCTGGGTAGGCAAGGCAGATTCTTTCTCGTGATTATTGGATGAGTTTTGGAAATGCTTGGTAGCGCTTACCTTTCTCTGCTTTCAGGTAAACATGTATGACATCTCGGGGGGAGTGAAAAGGGGCTTTTCCTTCAGCTGTCAGTAAAGGAAAGCAGTTTATTCTCTCAGTTCTCGGTATAAGTGGCATTTAAATGCTCATCTAAATTTTGATATAGGTACAGAACTGTCACTGCAGTTTTCTTAGTCAGCGTTGCAATCTTCATGTCGATGGCTAGGCAGAATGAAAAGGAATGAAAGTGCATAACAGTGACTTAAAAAATAGACTAGAAAATGTATTTATTTGAGAATATGTCTGTCTTGTGAAAATGGATTTGTTCTTTGGCTGCGTTTTGAGGCTTGGTGGTTTTGGGGTTGGTTTTGTTTTTTTTTTTTTTTTATCGTTTCCTCTGAACAGTCTTATGAATCCTGAGGTACTTTTTGTCTGACATCTAGTTTGTCTTCCACCCCTTTTCCCTTTACCCCCTGGCCTGTGATCAGAATATACTTGAAAAAAATGGGCTGCTTGTACCCTTGCTTTAATTTTCTAAGGAGCATACTGGATTTGTATGTGGAGTGACTTTCTTATAGAAAATGCCTTGGCTGCATGACGGTACTTAGTTTGAGCCTGTAGTGCATGTACGTCACTTTAGAAAGGAGTCTTTCCAAATGTACTAGCAAACAAATCTGAGCTTTCTGGAGCTGCAAGTTTGGACAGAAGGGTGACAGTTGTGTATGTTCTGTATTCTGCCGTGCCGAACATGAACCTGATGGTGTCCTTGCCTGCCAAAACTTGGGTTTGGGGGCATAGTTAGACAGACATTGAGTTCAGTAGCAAGCGAGAAGTGCTTTCCATGGCTTGCCAAGTACACGTGCAGGTTAATGCTGGAATCTATCTATCTATTTATTTATTTATTTATTTATTTAAAAGTGCATGGGGTCTCCTTTGCATTCCTCATCTGTGATGCCATGCCCGGACTCTCCCCATTACTGGACTTTGGCCAGATCCTCAGCGTTGTTGTAATCCCCTGCTGATGGCTAGGGCAATTTGTGGTTTGCCATATCATTTCCGTTTCAAAAAGTATCCCCTTCTTTATTCCTCTCTTGCCTTTTGATCATGTGTATGTGTGTATATAAGTACACACACGATGTTTATTTATACTTTCTGTCATCTCCTTCTTATTTCAGGATTTCAGATGCATGCCAGGTTCCCACTGAATGCCAGAAGTAGAGATCACTACAGATGGAGCCCCAAGGTCAGCATGGCAGCGGTGGTTCACTGGTGGTGATTCAGCAGCCCTCCTTGGACAGCCGGCAGCGGTTGGACTATGAGAGAGAGAGCCAGCCAACAACTATCTTGTCGCTGGACCAGATCAAGGCGATCAGGGGCAGCAACGAATACACCGAAGGTCCGTCTGTGGTGAAAAAATGCGGTCCGCGGACAGCACCAAGGCAGGAGAAGCACGAAAGGACTCACGAAATTATACCGATTAATGTGAATAATAACTACGAGCACAGGCCCAGCCATGTGGCGCATCAGCAGAACGCGAGGGCTCCCGTCCTGAGCCGATCCACCAGCACGGGCAGCGCGGCCAGCTCGGGGAGCAACAGCAGCGCTTCCTCGGAGCAGGGTCTGCTGGGGCGGTCGCCTCCCTCCAGGCCGGGCTCGGGCCACCGGCCCGACCGGACAGTCCGGACGCAGCCCAAGCAGTCGTCTCTGATTGTGGATGATCTGAAGGGCCCTTTGAAAGAGGACTTGACGCAGCACAAGTTTATCTGCGAGCAGTGTGGGAAGTGCAAGTGCGGCGAGTGCACGGCGCCGAGGGCTCTCCCGTCTTGCCTGGCCTGCAACCGGCAGTGCCTGTGCTCTGCGGAGGGCATGGTGGAGTACAGCACCTGCATGTGTTTGGTCAAAGGGGTCTTCTACCACTGTTCGAACGACGATGAAGGGGACTCTTACGCGGATAATCCCTGCTCGTGTTCCCAGGCACACTGCTGTTCTAGGTACCTGTGCATGGGAGCCATGGCCTTGTTTCTGCCTTGCTTGCTCTGCTACCCCCCTGCAAAAGGATGCCTAAAACTCTGTCGAGGGTGTTACGACCGCATCAATCGTCCAGGTTGCCGATGCAAGAACTCAAACACGGTCTATTGTAAACTGGAGAGCTGCCCCTCCCGGGGTCAGGGCAAGCCCTCATGATTTTTGGAGGGAGGTTTACTTCCTCCAACTTCAGTTTTTCAGGTTGTAGCTGTTTGTTTGTTGGTTTGTTTTGTTGGTTTTTTCCCCCTCTCCTCTGCCATTCGGGGGGGAGCTGTTCTTTTACTTTCCTTTCTGTCTCCCCCACTTCAAATACACAAGTTCTTCCCTTTGCATCTTTGCTGTCCTCTTCCTGTTGACTTGGCTGAGTGTGGAGCGTTTTACATAGTCGTTGCTGCTCTTTGGTAAGTGTAGACCTGGTATCTGCATCTGCCGCTCACTTTGGCAGGGTCTTTTGAGTTTGTAACTGAACCACTCCTGAAAGAGACAGTGAGGGCTCACTGGGCTCTTGAAGCTTCTTGCTCTGTGAATATCTTCCCAAAGATGTTTTTCATTCTCAGCAATTTATTTTTATTTTTTTTCCTTAACCCCGTGGCTACCAAGGAAGAATAACATTCATGAGGGAGCTGAAATTGTGAAATAACTTTTTGTGTGTTTTCTTTCTGGAGAGGGATGTAAAATAAAGGCTTTACCAAATGAAAGGCCTGACCCTTATATAAGCAGCCTGCTTTTTTTTTTTTTTTTTTTTTTTTTTGCCTTATCCCCTCACCCCCTCTTTTGTCTTAACTTTTGGAACATTCTCAGTCCTGAGAATTACCTTGCCTCCTTTTTTTACATTTTCAGTGTCACTTCAGTTTTTGCTACACTATGTAGATCTTCACATTGGAGACATTATGGCTGCAACATACTCATTTGTTTCTTTTGCTGTCAGATCTTTGAAGGATATTGCTCGCTTCACCCTCCTACTCCTGTTTTTATAGTCTTACCAGTATAAGTTGATATTAAAGTTGGTGGTGTTCATATATCCAAACAGCTTTCAGGTGTCATTGAGTCACCTAAACATTCTTGAATCCTTAAAGTTTCTCGTGATCCTTTGGTTTAGTGAATTTAGCTCTGCTTTGTACTTTATAATTTTATTCTGTCCCTGTTTTATTGCCTTAGCCACAAATTGTGGTCCTTTTTTGTATATTTTATGTATAAAACACAAAGTTGAATCCCAACTATTTTTAAGACAAAAGTCTGTTAAAACTTTTTTTATTGTAAAGAATATTTATTATGTGAATCTCTATTATTTTATGATATTTATTGCAAAAGACTTCGAAAATGTACTCATGTCTGAATATAACAAAATATCAATACTTAACGAAATAAGGATGACACGAAGAAAGTACATATGTTAACTATAATGCAGAAAATATATTAATTAATGAAAATGGCTCTTGAGTTCTTTTGTTACAATGACAGGTTGTGAGCTACATACGCATATTGCTGGGTTGCTGGGGTTTCTCCTCCTTGCAGTCTGTCAGGTAGCAAATAACTTCCTATTGATACTCCAAAACCACTAGTCTGTGCTCTAGTTTAGTTTACCTAACTTTAAGTTTGCTAGCTATATATCCAGTAAGTTTTTGCTATGGGCTATTTAATACAATGGAATGTATACATTGTGCTTAACAGTGCTAAGAAGCATAGGCCCTAATTATTTACCAAAGCATTTGGAAATACAGTTGTGGAGGAAGAAACCATAACCTCAAGGGTTTTTTGTTTCCTATAGAAATTTACCAAATTAACATGTAAACCTGTTTAAAATTTGATTATATAGAACTTCTTGGCCAGTTAAATTGTACATCAAGTGAAGTAATGAGTCTACCAAGCTCAAATCTAAATAAAAAGCAAGAGGCAGGATAAAGAATAACAGTTGTGTGGCTGTAGTTTGCTGGCTTTGAAATTTGGGGTTGTGTATGTCTGTGCCTATGTCTATTGCTTGTTTGGTACGTTTCTTCAATGTCAACTGAATCTGTCTTCTAATTTAAAGGCTCTTAAGGGTGACCTAAGTGTCACAGCTGCTTGTGGCCATTTAACACATATTCAACAAAAAAAGCTTTTCATTAAGAGTGAATGGGAAAACCTCCTTCTTCTGTTCCTGTGGGTCAAGCCTAACATCACAATTCTTGTAAAGTAAAAAGTTTATTAAACGGATGTAATTTCACATGGTATTCAGAGTAAGTGGTTCTAGAGAAACTCCACTTTAAGAACACAGGAATAACTTGACAAATGTGTTATATCTTGCGTTTTGAAGTCCTGCTGCTTCAAATTGCCATATTCAAGCTGTTCGGACTCCTAGCATGTTGAGGATTTGAACAAGCTGGGCTTTTGTAGTTAACTCCATCACAGCTGATCCAGTGTCATATAACAAGCTGTCTGAAACGTTGCATTCTGTATTAAGTGGCATGGATGACTTCTGTGAGGTATAAAGTGAAATCATCATCTGGCTACGTCTGGGAAACCACTTGCTTTGCAGTATGTGGTTGGTGGTACTGCTCTCCCAGCCTCAGCGTGACAGAACTGACAGGCTGGGAGGCTTGTGGGGTGGCAGTGTCTCTATACGAAGTCTGCTTTCCAAGGTTTACTCTTCACGAGATGAAGCGAAGCCAAGAGAAGAATGTTTCTGAGGAGCAGGCGACTTTCTTTGCACTACCGTCTTATCACCGATACTTCTCTCACAGTGACAGCTGCAAACAGCCCTTGGGCACAATGAAATCCTTGTCAAACAGTCACCGTTGGTCAGATATGACCATTTTTAAGACTGTGTACTGACACTCAAAAATAGTGAGCTAACTGCCTTTTCATAACTGGATACAATCCAGCTCTGTGTTGAGTAAGTTTGCTCAAAGGGTGTTAGTTATTCCTCTTCAAAGACAAACGTTATGCTGCTTACCTCTGTCTCTCTCCTTTTTTTCAGCCAGGTGACTTACATGGGGGTTTGGTTCAGTTCCTAGCAGAAGAGAAGAAAGCCCAAAGGACCCACATGTACTCCGTCATTTAATGATTGTCTTCCATCACAAGCTGTGTCACAGCACTGTTTCAGATTTCTTTTAAAAAAATCAACAAAACTACACTCTAGTTAGTCACACTAATGCTCCCTTTACTAACTTAAACTTTGGGAGTAACTTCAGGTTGCAGTTCCTTAGGTGGAAAATTTGACTTTGACCTACACAGCAATGAGAATACAACAGTTCCTTGTATGTCTTAAATGGTGTTCTGATCGCCAGGTGCGTGTTACCTAGAGAAGGCAGTGTTAAAGCAATGAGAATGATAGGGGTTTTTTCTTGAGTTAGATGCTGTATTGTTCGTACTTCATATGCATCTATATATTTGAGTTCACTTTTGGGTCCTCTGGAACATAGGGGCATTGCCTTATGTTATGGAAATGACTGTGACTTCTTTCAGGCTGACAGATTTTGTGGTGTAGAACCACACGGGATCGCATGAATATCTTCCTAGTGGAATAAAACTGAGTAAGCTGACAGATGTATGAAGTAAGCCTCTACAGCTTGAAGAGATAAAGGTTATTTTAAATATGCCTTAAGTGGTCTGTCATAATCTATTCTACTTTCTACACTATAGCAGCTGGAGTGACCATCTAGAGATAGTGTGTTTTGTGGTAAGGGGGTTTGCAAAAGGCTAATGAGATTTCTGGCGATTAGGAGACTGAAGTGCAGATTTCAGTTCTTCAACACAAAATTTGTCAGTGGGCTGCTGGTGTTGCTTTCTATATGTCTGTAGAGTGCTGGACTACCAGAGGGCCATTACAATGTAGATCACAAAAATTATTCCTTAACCATTTTCAGATGGCTTTGAGATCTTATTTTGAAAAAGAAAGAGAACTCTGTATAAAATGATCGCGTAATTCGGTGATAAGTTCAGCTGACCTACTAACCTAATTGTATGGGTTGGTGATGGATTTGAACAAGCCTGCCATCTGGATACACGCAGCAGAGTCCTGAAATGTGTCGTGTAAGGTCTGGGATGAAGGGAAAAAGGAAGTTCCTCCAGCAAGCTGGAATTCACGTCTTGGTTTGCTTAGTGTCTTGAAACTAGTGGTAAGAGATGAGTTTTGGAAACAGGTGATAAATGAGTTTCCACATTCCCTGGTGGAGGAATACATTGCTAGGGTGAGAATTTGAGAGTTGGGGTGTTTCTCTGAAGATGGCTTCATTACACTAATGCTAGTGTGGATGATAGCGTTATCCAAGGGCGGATAATGCTTAACAAATTAAAAGTACTTGCTCTTGTTTATGGTTCCATATCATAAAGACAGGTGGGAGAGGATTAGCTCTTCTCTCTGTGATAAAGCAAATCTGTTAAGAAGGATTAAAAGGGCTAGATGAAGTGTTTTAATGGACTTATATGAAGTAATAGATTTTTGTCCCGGAGGAATGTTCAGGACTTACTGATACTTCTGTATTTCTTGTTCTGTTAAATTTACCTCAAAATTCTAAGGAATCCAAATTAATTGTTGGCTTTCTTCCAGCTGGAGCATTTGTGTCAGTCATGGTGGTGCTTCAAAAAACCTGGAATAAAATTTTGTTCTGCTATCACACAGCTGGATTTACCAGCCTTACACATTGCATGGGTTGCACAGGTCTTGTTGTGATTAGCCTTCATCAGCAGGCAAATTGCTTTTAGAGCAGTGCTTAATGATATGTACTTCCTTGCTGTAGTTGTTTTTCACCTTTCTTTCACTGATGGAAGTAGCCAAGGCTTCTACCCTTGGCATTAGCTACCTAGTCATATGGGGCCTGTGTTAACAAGCTTTATGCTTACTGGAAGGAGCTATTCAAAAAACTTCTAAGCTACCCAGAAAGCTTCCTTCATCATGTTCTGCTTCCATGTTAGAGCATTGACTTGGGCTGTCGCCAGTACATGGGACTGATGCCCCACTGTCCTGGCAGGGGGATGAGGAAGGTCTGTGAGTTGGGCAGCAAGCACAGCCCACACAAATCAGCTTTCTGGTGCCTTCTCGGCATTTAAAAACCCCAGCACAGGGTTATTCATGCTCTTTGTGCACCCTTGTGCTCTAAACACTCACTTGCTGCAAGCTGAGAGCTCTTGCAGTGCATGTCCCTGCCACGACCACGTGCGAAAGCCTTGGCCCTTGCCAAACATCTGCAGGAGGCATAGATCCCTGGGAGCATTGTGATCACCATTAAACTTTTCAGTTGCATTTTCTGTGCCTCTGTGTGTGTGTGCGTGTGCTTTGAAATGAGCTTTGTTTCTTATGTACACATGTAGTGTGTACTACCTAGTGATTTACTCTCACTTCAGCTTGACTGGGGATGCCTTGCTATGCCTTTATTGTGTATTCTGTTAGAAACTGTGTTTCTTGGCTGGAGTGTTAAATCCAAACTCGGTGGCTGTTAAAGGCTAAAAGAGGAATATGGACATACTGGCCACCATATCAGAAACCAACACAGTTGGAACAAAGTGTTATTCCCAGAGTGATATTTACTTATTGGTTTATATTTGTGATAAAGAGATACAGTGATGTTGCTTTTCTCAGTATAATGCTTGCAGTTGCCACTCCTGCTTCTCCTGGTGAAGGTGTCTTGAGATGAGATACTTCCTCATTTACTTATCAATGACTACAAATACGGGACAGATTTTCAGCAGACCATACATGGTCTTATTTCTTAGGTTTAAGTATATAGGGGTGAAACCCTAGTTTTACTGAATAACTTTTGATTTTTAGCTTCAAAAAAGGGCCGTCAGTTCATCTGGATCTTTCAATATTCCTGACATATGCATGTGACTATATCGTACAAGGAAGAGAAATGCTGTACTTCCAGGGCAATGACATTGTTGTGCACGTTACAATATTGGCTAATGTACATTTGTTTTAGTCCTTAGAGAAAGGTGTGCCTGGTAGCCGTGCCTCTCGCATTGTAAACACACCCTGTTTTGTAAACCTTTGTATACATGTACAGTGCTACAAATCCAAAAACAAGTATCCCACAGAATACGTCAAAAGGCACAAACGTTTGACTCTACCCCAAAGGGCTGAACCTCATTGTGTTTGTGCGAGAAGGAGCACAATGGGACTCGCATCCTGCCTGACCGTCCGGGGTCGCTACCATACTATGACCAGTTTTATTTATACCACAGAATATTTCTTCTGAATGAAGCTGATGGATTCACACCAGTGATTATGTTGGCCAGGCAACAGTGTTCTTACACTGGGACCTAATGCCACTGCAAGCTGTTCTGAAATGATGCGATACCGGTGGTAAGGGTTTTTTTCCTTGTTTTCTTTTTTTTGTATTTATTACATTGGGTTGGTTAATACACCCCACTGTCTTATGAATGACTAGCATTCATATGTGTTAGGGTGTTCTTAGTTTATATGATAAAGTAACTGTGAGAAGTAGCTGGAATACCCTAAACATACCCCGAAATTACATAACTGAATAATACTTCATGGATATTTTAAATGAAATCACCTGTCCTCTGCCGCATGCTTCGACTTCCAAGCCGTTCTTCTAGTGCTGTGAGGATTCCTCTTCCACACTTTAAGCAGGAGAAACAGTTGAAGTTGCCTGGTCTGGTCAATGTCCTCTCCAAAGCGTCGTTTCTTGTGTGGTGTTTGGTTTGATGCTTTCAGATCTGTGCACTCTGTGAGTAGGACACTTCAAATTGAAAACGAATAAACTAGTTTCCTAGAAGGAAGGGGAAAGTGCTGGGGTTTTTCTCTAGCCTGGATTTTGGGAGATTGCATGGTACCTTCTTTCTAATATCAAGGTCTCCTAGCTGCCCCTGCTCAAAATCCATTTTCAGCAACATTTATTTCTTATCAAAATCAATTCTTATTTATCCAACTCCTTTTTCTGAGAATAATTGTACACTTGTTCATTTTTC